CACAACGCCCGGCTATTTTTTGGTTGCAGCCGTCATTGTTGTTTGGCGGGTCCGGGCTGGGGATTCGAACCCACCACCTTAGGTGTACGTGGCTGGCACCTTAGCCAGTTGAGCTATAGGCGCCGAGCCTCTTCATTCTTTAGATTGGATTATTTCTACTTTATTTTCAGGTTTTCTGAATATTTCTTCTGTTGTCTCCATTCTTTTGCTTAACCCATCCATTGAATTTTTAATATTGGTTATTTTACTTTTTAGTTCTAAAATTTTTCTTTAGTTCTCCATTATCTCCTATTTATTTGCTGGGACTTTTTTTTTTCATTTGTTTCAAGTGTGTTTATAATTACTTGTTGAAACATTTTTATGAGTACTTCTTCGAAATCCTTATCAAACAATTCCTGTGCATGTGTCACCTCAGTTTTAATATCAGTAGATTGGTTGTTTCCTTATTCAAGTTGAGGTTTTCCTGGTTCTTGGTTACACAGACGATTTTTCAGTGTATTATAGTCATTATAACATAATGCCTTGAAGATGTCCTCTTTGCCATTGTGGGGAAGAAGAACCTACTGTGCTACTGCCAGGTGGGGTAAATTCCTAGGTTCCTTACTTGAACTCAATTAATACTCTGTGGGGAGATGGAAGCCTCATTACTGCTGGGTGGGGTTGGTAGTTCAGGTTCCCCAGTAGACCTCTGGTTACACTAATTCATCTGTAAAAAGGAGGGGGCCCCTCATTTCCCTTCTCCATGTTACCTTCTCTGACTTTACCAGGATAGGTGGGGCTTCATTATCTCTAAGAGGGATGAAAGTCTTGCATTCCCGCTTGGCCTCCTTGCAGATGGACATATGGGCACTTAAGGGAAAAGTCATATCTTAATGTGCTTGCATTGCTAGTAATAATGATTTAATAAGCTTAAAACCAATATTTGTTGGTTGTAAGTAGGTTAGGAATTGAATTAGGAAAATGATTGCAGATAATGGGCAAAAAGGAACAAAGACAGGAGAGAAGTGGATCAGAGAAACCCAAAATTTGGTGCAAAATGCACTGCCTAGAAGCCTGAGCCCTTTAAGACTGAAGAGGCTATTTTGCCAGAACTTCTCTCCTCCCTCAGCACAACTCCACTGTGAGGTCACTGAGTAGGCAAGGCTCGCCCCAGGTGGGGCTTCCCTCTTAAGGAGAGTGAGTGCTTTTGCTGAGTTAGGGAATGCAGAATGATTAAACCTTATTAAAGAGAAAAAAGGTCTCTCCAGACTAGATAAGGAGAAAAAAATATCTCCTTTCTTCTGTCACGGTAGTATGGTCAGAAGTATCAGTCCGTCTCAGCACAAGGCTTCTTGAGTGTTAATTGCCACTCCTGTGATTTGTATGTGTGGCCTAATTGGGGTCTGCTTTGACTTAGTTTGTTGTTGTTTAATCTGTGGTGTTTGGCTGGGGTAGGTTTTGTCTAAAAGTTGGCTTTTTTGTTTTTGTTGTTGCAGTTTGGCTGGGGCCAGGTTTGAACCCGCCACCCTTGGTATATGGGGCCAGCGCTCTACACACGTAGCCACTGGTGTTGCCATGTCTAAAAGTTTTTTTTGTCTGTCTAGTTTGCCCTTTTCCTCTTCCTTGTTTTTTGTGCATACTCATTGTTCTGGGCTGAAGGGTTTTCTAGCACTTGGTTAGGGGTATATGAAGCAAAAAAAGACTTAGGAAACTCACTGTTGCTTAGTTCCTTGGTTTCTGATGTCCCCATCCAGTTTGCCTGTTTTCCTTTACCTTTCAGAATCTTCTAATGTATGAATAATGTCTATAGCTTGTAGATGTGCTAAGCAGGATGACTCAGGACAAGTGCATCTATGCCATCTTTCCAGGAATGGAAGCTGCTTCACTGATTTTTTTTATAAGGGACTTTATCTATTAAGCCTATTATATGTTTTCTTCGATCATAATTACCTCATTGTCTTTTAAATTTAACTTTTAAAAATAAATATTTCATTTGAAATACCATGAAAGTTATACTTGTATTTGCTCAAATTGAGTCTTCTTAGAAAAAAAACAGCTGTTCTCTTCATCTGTTCTCTTAACCCTTAGGTTCCAGCTTCTCAAAAGTAAACACTTTGAACTCAGTTTAACTAATTCTTTTGCTATTTACTCTGATATGTCTAAATAACATTTCATTATTAGTACTTGTAGGGAGCCAGCCCCCATACAACCGATGGGTGTCCCCAGTGCTTAGCAGAGACCAAGGGGATGAAAAAAATAAAGACAATAGAAATAGAGTAAAATTTATAGAGGGGTCCCAGGGGCTGACACCTTTTTTATTTCAAGGATTCTTTTCATCATTTCTGAATGATCTTTTTAATACTATCCAGTTTTGTCATTTTCTCTAATATTTCTAGGTTAATATTTTGAGTAGGCAATACATCATATGATTTAAAAATAAGGGGGGAAAAGTATGTAGTGAAGAGTCTCCTTCAGACTTTTCTCTCCCATCAGCACATCTTCACTAATTTTTTAGTGTGTGCCAAAAGTGTCATTATGTAGACAAAAACAACTACAAAAAGTATATTTCTTCCACTAAAGATAGTATATTGTATGCTTTCCTGAAACTTTGTAGTTTTATTTCCATTGATTTTTAAACCTTTACTATTGTCAAATGTAAAATGTATTATGAAATATGCTCCTGTGAATACATGTATTTCTTTCAAAAGATATTTCTCTCCAACTTGAGCACATGATGTCAGACAATTTTGCAAATTGGCTATGCCAATTTGTATTCCTAACAGTAGTATTTAGGTATTCTCATTACTTTATATCCTTACCTTGCTTGTTGTTACCAATTTTTGCAGTTTAGCCATTTTGGGGAGTTCACAAAGATATCCCATTGTGCTTTTAATTCACATTTCCCTGGTAACTAATGTGTTTAAACAGTTTTTCAGAAATTTGTTGTCATGTACATTCTTCTTTTGTGAATTGGAGACTCATTCTTTCTTTTTTTAACTGTGTTGTCTGTAGTTTGCATTGTTTTTTAATTTGTATTCTTTATGTACATTGTGTGTATTATCACATTGTCATTCACATATGACTTCCTAATACAATGATAACTGTAAGTACAAAATAGAAAAAATATAGTTACATTTAGTGCCATAATTTCTGAAATTAAAAGATAATTACCTTCCTAACATATTCTCTTTCTTATTTTCTTGCTCTCTTTCTGGGTGTGAATGATTTCTATCTATATCACAAAAGTCTTGTTAGTTATGTTGGTCAGATGTTCTGTATAATTTCTAATTTTTTGAGTATTGCTGATTTGTTTTATGTAGGGATGTCATCTCCATTGTCACCAGCTTGTTAGTTTTCTTGCTCAAATTTTCCTATTCACAATAGATATTGTTGCTGTATCTAGCAATTGGTATAACTGGACCAAAATTTCCCTCTGCCATTGTGGATTTATCAATTTCTGAATGTAATTTTTGTCAACTTGTTTTACATATTTCTATGTTATTTAGAGTATGAATTATATCTTGCTGGAGCTTTGGCCTTTTTGCTATTATGTAACACTGTATTTTTTTACTTAAAACTTTTATAGTCTATAATTGCAACCCAGTTTCTGTTTAACTATTTTAATAAAACTATGTGACTAAATACAGTACCATAATATAATTGTTAAGTTTTGTATTTCTGTATAACAGAAATCTAAAAATTATGGGCTTAAACACATCAGGGTTTACTTTTTCAAGCAAAAGTAGTCTGAAAGTAGTCAACTGGTATCTTAAAGGACTCGTACACTATTTTTTCTGTTCTGTGTGTCGTTCTCATTTTGTGATTTCCAACTTTGCTCATTCAATGGTCCAAGAATTATAATGCGTTCTTAATTTCAGATATTGTATTTTTTCATTTTTGAATTTCTATTTGATTTTTTATTATAAATCTCAGTTCTCTAATGAAATTCTCCACCTTTTCTTCTAGCTCCAATTCTCTGTGTGACTATTCCTATTGAATTATTTTGTTTTCAATTTTGGCTATATGGTCTTGTTGCTTGGTATATGGAGGATTTTTTTACTCTTTCAAACACTGTATGCAAAATATTGTAATGGTAGTGGACCTGGATGATGGTAGTCTCTCTTCACGGAAGATTCCTCTTTCTCTGCATCAGCAAATAGAGTGAACAGTGAACACCTTTATCCAGTCAGGCACTGTGTTAAATCCAGGCTGGGCTGAAGCTCTGGTAAGACTCAGTCTCCCTCTGGTTCACCCTGGCTGTTGACAGTTTCTGCTGAGAGCCCAGTTTGTCCTCTGGAGAACCTTCTCCTGGTACCTGCTCAGTGTCTGGTAGACCTCCATTTGGTAGATATTTTCTTATCAGATGCTAAAATTTTGCTTTGCACAGCAGGGGCTGTTTACATTAAGTTTTTAGTCTTCTGCCCCTATGCGCCCTAGAATTCAGCAAATATCCCAAGGGGAAAATGGCTGTGTGTTTGAGTTCTGTTAGTTTTTGTCTCATCCAAGTGTAGCCCTCTACTGGTTTCAAGCTGGATTTTCACCTTTTGCCCACACATCGGTAAATGTTCCCAGTGTCAAAGTGGCCACATCAGTCAGCTTAAACTTTTGTGTTCGCTCCTCTCCTAAGTCGCAGCCCCTGCATTTCTTGTTACCTCCACAGCTTTTCAGGGCTTTTAGCATGTGATTTCAGTATTTCTTCTGGCATCTATAGTTACTCTTAAAAGAAGCACTGGATTGCCACAAATTACTGCATCTACCTGGAAATCGCTGTACCTAAATAAAGCCCTCCCCTTCATATATTTAGGCAATTTGCCCATGTAAAGTATACATTTTGATGATTTTTAATACATTTACAAAGTTGTGCAGCCATCATCATCATCAATTTTAGACATTTTCTTCAACATCTTCATGGTTTTGAGGTGCTACCTTGTAGTTTGGGTTCACATTTCCCTGGTGACAGGTGATATTCAATTCTTGTGCATATTCTTGTGCATATTGACTGTCTATCTATATTCTGAAGTGTCTGTTCAAGCCCTTTGACCCATTTTTTTTTTTTAAGAGACAGAGTCTCATTTTGTCGCCCTCGGTAGAGTGCTGTGGAGTCACAGCTCACAGCAACCTCCAGGTCTTGGGCTTAGGCAATTCTCTTGCCTCCTGAGTAGCTGGGACTACAAGCACCCACCACAATGCCTGCTATTTTTTTGTTGTGATTTGGCCAGGGCCAGGTTTGAACCCACTACCCTCAGTATGTGGGGCCAGTGCCCTACTCACTGAGCCACAGGCGCCACCCTTTGCCCCACTTTTTAATCTATTGTTGTGGTGGTGTAGAAGTTCTTTTATTTATTTTTATTATTTTTTTTTTTTGAGACAGAGCCTCAAGCTGTCACCCTGGGTAGAGTGCAGTGGCATCACAGCTCACAACAACCTCTAACTCCTGGGCTCAAGTGAGGCTTCTGCCTCTGCCTCCCAAGTAGCTAAGACAACAGGGGCCCGCCACAATGCCCAGCTATTTTTGGTTGCAGCCATCATTGTTGTTTGGAGGGCCCGGACTGGATTTGAACCTGCCACCTTAGGTGTATGTGGCTGGCGCCTTAGCTGCTTGAGCCACAAACGCTGAGCCAGAAGTTCTTTATAGTATATTGTATCATATTAAAAATAAGGTTCTAAATATCTTGTTTTCATCTGCAATCTTGATCCCTCACATTAAATAAGAATTTGTTTTTACAGGGATCAGTGTCATTCAAGGATGTAACTGTAGACTTCAGCAGGGAGGAGTGGCAACAATTGGACCTTGCTCAGAAAAGCCTGTACAGGGATGTGATGCTGGAAAACTATTTCAACTTGATCTCAGTGGGTAAGTATAGCTCTGCTGGGTATCTAAGGGTCTATATAACTAATTTTGCATTTTCTTTCTCATTAATTTCTGAAATCGATGGGTTTTTTGAAACTTCTAAAGACTACAGGACATCTGAAGTGTGTAATAGTTTTGTCCATATTTTGTTCTTTTGTTTGTTTGTTTGTTTGTTTGAGACAGAATCTCACTATGTCACCCTCAGTAGAGTGCTGTGGCATCACAGCTCACAGCAACCTCCAACTCTTGGGCTCAAGCAAGTCTCTTGCTTCAGCCTCCCAAGTAGCTGGGACTACAGGCACATGCCACAACACCCAGCTAGTTTTTTTTATTTCAGTTGTCATTGGTTGTTAGCTGGCCCAGGCCAGGTTCAACCCCGCCAATGTCAGTGTACATGGCTAGCACCATAACCACTGTGCTATGGGTGGTGAACCTATTCTGTGTCTTCAATAATCTCTTTTAGGTGTTGTGAGTATACTTTGTTTACAGTGAACTTTTCTGGAAGACAAATGGAATGCCTTATTGTATGGCCTCTGAAACCCAGGCCTCTATCATTTCCCATTAATAGGGTATCAAGTCCCCAAACCGGAAGTTATCTTCAGCTTGGAACAAGGAGAAGAGCCATGCGAGGTGGATGATAGGCCCCCCTGTCAGAGCTACTCAGGTGAGCAGGGAACCCGGAGCACACTGAGCAGTGCAGCTCACCTTCAGGTACACTGGGAGAGGCTGGCAACGTTGACATGCCATTAGCATGACTTTCCTGGTTCATTTCTATACTTGTAGAACTGCTTGCCTAGAACTGATATAGCCCCCTCGGATATCTAAATGCTATTCCTGTTTAGGGCCCCTCCCCATACCAGTTCTTTCTTCTTTGTTTGACTTTTTAGAAGGGAATGTACTATATTTACTGGTACTATGAATCATGTCCTACTCTACATCATCTAGAATCCTGCTTTCTTGTTTTCTTTTTCGTTCATTAGTAAAGAATTTTTATTCCTTTGACCTCCATCAAGGTCTTAGATCCTTTTCTTAATCATTCAAATACTTACAGACCTGCTTTCTTTAAAATTTACTGTGGGTCACACTATGGCTCCTACTGGTTACTTCTCATTTTCTCTCTTTTCCCTTAGTATCTTAGAATTTTCATCTAGAGATGGGCTTATTTGATAATTTCCCCACACCTCTTCTCTAACTGTTGACTTTGAGGGTACCAACATTTTCTTTGTATTTGGCCAGTGTAACACAATACTGACTTAAACATTTCTATACCTCATGGGCAGGAGACTGAGTTCATTATAGCCTTAGTTTATAGTCAATGTCATCATCTGGGTGTCAAAGGCCCTCCTCTTATTTATTCCTTTTTTTCTTTTGCAGTTTTTGGCTAGGGCTAGGTTTGAGCCCGCCACCTCTGGCATGTGGGGCCAGTGCCCTACTCCTTTGAGCCACAGGCACTGCCCACTTATTTATTCTACTCTCCATACTTGTTTTTATTCTTTTAATCTCTACTCTCCATACTTGTTTTTAATTCTTCCCAAAGGCAACTGCTCTAATATATTTGACATGTTTGCCATCTATCCTTGAATTTGTGGGTTATTTTTAAAGCTTAAATTATTGATTTTTAATTTTTAAAAATAGTACTGTCATATATCCTGCTCAATTTCCTACCATTTTTTCCCAAAATTTGGTCTGTGTTGGTCTGTTTTTCTAGTTCATCTATCTGATCGCTGCATAGCTCTCTGTAGTGTGCATATATAACTTTTCACTTATCCAGTTTCAGCTACTACAAACAGTACTGCAATAAATTTCTTCATGAACTGAGAATTTCTTAGGGAAGGCTAGTGCTTTATTATTGAGTACTCTAATACTTAACATGATTAAGTGTAACCATATTATTTTCTAGAGTGGGTCTGTCATTTGACAATCTCTTGAACATTGCACAATTTGGCTAATCTAATGGGTTTTAATTTCTAATTTTTTCAACTTAGGTTTCTCTAGTAACAAAATATTTTGAATATCTCACCCTGCAGCCTTCATTTTTGATGTTTGACTGCTGAAATCTTCTAAGTCTCACTCTTCCCTCTCCTGCCCCACATCTGGAAAACCGGAGAAGAAAGCCCAAGTGTTCCCTCTGTTGGCACTGAGGGAAAGTTGAAACCACATGTGGAAATGGTCAGCCCAGCCCCACCCCTCAGTCACCATAGAAAGGTCAACTTTGGCTCCACACCCATAGCTCAGTGGTTAGGTTTCTAGCCACATGCACCAGGGCTGGTGGGATCAAGCCCAGCCTGGGCCTGCTAAACAACAATGACACCAACAACAAAAAAAAATAGCCAGGCATTGTGGCGGGTGCCTATAGTCCCAGCAACTTGGGAGGCTGAGGCGAGAAAATTGCTTAAGCCCAAGAGTTTGAGGTTGCTGTGACCTATGATGCCACAGCACTCTACTGAGGATGACAAAGACTCTGTCTCAAAAAAAAAAAAAAAAAAACCTCAACATTTGCTCCCTCAAGCCACATTTGAGTTGTCGCCCCACGGTCATTTCATACCCTCTTACTGTGTGTATCCTATCATCATTCTTTTTTTTTTTTTTTGAGACAGAGCCTCAAGCTGTCACCCTGGGTAGAGTGCCATGGCATCACAGGTCACAGCAACCTCCAGCTCCTGGCTCAAGCGAGTCTATTGCCTCAGTCTCCCAAGTAGCTGGGACCACAGGTGCCCGCCACAACGCCCAGCTATTTTTTGGTTGCAGCTGTCATTGTTGTTTGGCAGGCCCAGGCTGGATTCGAACCCGCCACCTTAGGTGTATGTGGCTGGCACCTTAGCTGCTTGAGCCACAGGTGCCAAGCCCCTATCATCATTCTTAACATCTGAACCAAGTTTATGGCAGGATCCATTCCTCCTCTGCAGGTGTACTTACAGCTAGGGTGGTGATCAGGATATCCAGACAAGCACCCCCATGAGTTTTATCTCTTCCTCCTAACTGGCTCTACTGCCTGCTGGAGAGTGTGCACTTTGCCTCTGCCCTATCTGTACCCAACCTATGTAAGAAGTTATAATTGGTATTTAGGGATAGATATAAGGTATTGAGGCCCTCCTTAAAGTTACCCTGGGCCATGTGTTTCAGCCTGGACCTATCTATGTCTCAGATTGAGTTATGTGTCTCAGTTCCAGTGTAAGCTGTGGTTGGCTTATGGGAACAACCTTTCTCTCTGACTGTTAGTTATATGTCTTAGACAGGCATTGGCCCATTGCATATAGCTTTCAGGGGAAAGACCAATAACTTATGCATATTTGGTATCATCAAGTGGCTGCTTATATGAAGGAAGACAAGTTACAGTGCAGCTGTAAAAGCAGGTGACTCACCTTTCAACATTTTGTCATATGCTATTGGTTGTGGACTTCTCCTTCTGATCCAGTTTCTAAACAATTCATTCTGCTCTTCTACTAATTTTTCTTTTAGAAAATACCATTTAGATGCCTTCTTCTTCTTTCTTCCCAGTGACATCACCTAAAACCATGTCTGTATTTCCTCATGCCTGATTATTCTAACCTTATTTGGATGTGATAATTTCCTCCCCCCTTTTTTTTCTTTGAGACAGAGTCTCAAGCTATCACTCTGAATAGAGTGCTGTTGCATCATAGCTCATGGCAACCACCAACCCTTGGGCTCAAGCAATCCTTTTGCCTCAGTTTTTCTATTTTTAGTAGAGATGTGGTCTCGCTGTGGCTCAGAATGGTCTCAATCTTCTGAGCTCAAGCAATCCACCCGCCTTGGGCTCTCAGAGTGCTAGGATTACAGGGGTGAGCCACTGCACCCGGCCTCCCATTTTTTAAATAGTTATTTTAGATGCCACCAGCAGATTTCATTACTTAAAACATTGTTCATTATGTTAATCCTGTCACAGCTATATGGAACAAAATTAAACTTACTACTTATTATCTAACATATGACAAATTCTCCTCTTAATGGGTTTGTAAGCTACAGAAAGTACATGGCCTCATCTCTATAATTCACATTTATCCATGTTTAGTTTCCATAACCCTGTCTGCTCCATTTAATATTGTCTTTAATATTTCCCCTGCATCTGACTCTTGGGGTTTTGTTGTTGTTATCTTTGAGACAGAGTCTCACTCTGTCACCCAGGTTAGTGTTTAGTGTGCTGGGGCATCAACCGAGCTCACAGCAATCTCAAACTCTTGGGTTTAAGTAATCCTCCTGCCTCAGCCTCCCCAATAACTAGGACTACAGCTGCCTGCCACACGCCTAGCTAACTTTCCTTTTCTTTGTTTTTTTTTTTTTTCAGTAGAGATGGGGTCTCACTCTTGTTCAGACTTGTCTCAAACTCCTGAGCTCAAGGGATCCTCCTGCCTTGGCCTCCCAGAGTGCTAGGATTACAGGTGTGAGCCACCGTGCCTGGCCTACTCTTTGGTTATTTTATGTTCTATCTATTCAAATAATACAGTTACTTACATTCCTTTAATTCAACCTATTACAGCATACATTGCTTTTTCCCTTTTCTAATTCCCCAACTCACAGAAATTCAGAGAAAATTATTAATACATTACCAGCTTGAGCAAGAGAGAAACCCCTATCTCTAAAAAAAATAGCCAGGCATTGCAATGGCGCCTATAGTCCCAGCTGGTTGAGAGACTTGGGCTCAAGTGATCCCCTTGAATTTGAGATTGCTGTGAGCTATAATGCCATGGCACTCTACCAAGGGTAACAAAGTGAGATTCTGTCTGAAAAAAAAAAAAAAAAAAAAAAAAGGAAAATTATTAATACATTTAATTATACATCTTAATCTTTTACCTTTGTACTTTTTTTTAAGATTTAAGTTCTTTTTAAAATTTTGTTTAAGTTACAGGTACATAATAGTTGTATTTATTTATAATATTTATGGTACCATCAAGAAATTATTTACTATTTTCTTTTTCAACAGAGACAAGGTCTTGCTCCATTTCCGTTGCTCACATTATAGTGTGGTGGCATCATCATAGCTCAAAGTCCAGTGCTGGCTCAAGAGATCCTTCTGTCAAAGCCTTCTGCATAGCTGGGACTCAAGTATATACCATCACACCTGGCTGACTTTTTGTTTTTTTTGTAGAGATGAGGTTTCTCTATGTTTTCTAGACTTGTCTTGAACTCCTCTTGCCTCAGCTTCCCAAAGTGCTGGGATTATAGGCATAAGATACCACACCCAGCCTACCCTTGTACTTTAAAAAATATTTTCTTTCTTTTTTTTTTTTTTTTTTTTTTTTGAGACAGAGCCTCAAGCTGTCACCCTGGGTAGAGTGCCCTGGTATCACAGCTCACAGCAACCTCGAACTCCTGAGCTCAAGTGAGTCTCTTGCCTCAGCCTCCCAAGTAGCTGGGACCACAGGCGCCCGCCACAACGCCCAGCTATTTTTTGGTTGCAGCCGTCATTGTTGTTTGGTGGGCCGGCCTGGATTAGAATCTGCCACCTTAGGTGTATGTGGCTGGCGCCTTAGCCCCTTAAGCTATGGGTGCCGAGCCTTAAAAAATATTTTCATAGAACATATTTAGTAAAATTAAATTCTTGAATTTATCTTATAGGCAGAGCAGTTCAGTTTGCTCTATTTCAGAAAGATTTAAAAAATTTTCTTCTAAGAACAATTCAAAGAGCCAGAGATGATACTTGGAAACAGAAGATAACCACATGAAATCTTTAAAATTTCAAACTTTGTATATTTTTCATCTATTAACATTCCTGTCTGTATTAATTTAAGTATAAATATAAATAGCTCAGAATATATGTTTGTTTTTAAATTAAATGAAAAGGGAGTCTACCTAGACTTGTGGTAAGATTTAAGATTAGTTTTTAAAGCAAAGAACCCTAAATAATACATGAAGAACATTGAATTTTGAATAAAAACAGAGGAACAGAAAAGGAAGCTTAAATGGGGAAAATGAAAAGACCCATATGTTTGGATTCGGTAATAAAATAGGCTTTAGTGGAGTGGTGCCTGTGGCTCACTGAGTAGGGCGCCAGCCCCATAGACTGAGGTTAGCGGGTTCAAACCCAGACCTGGCCAAACTGCAACAAAAAAATAGCCAGGCGTTGTGGCGGGTGCCTGTAGTCCCAGTTACTGGGAGGCTGAGGCAAGAGAATCACCTAACCCTAGGAGTTGGAGGTTGCTATGAGCTGTGTGATGCCACGGCACTCTACCGAGGGCAATAAAGTGAGACTCTAAAAAAAAATAGACTTCAGTGGCTAGTGGAACAATAGCTTACATACACATTTTATTGGCCTGAAATATGACTGTTTTATAAATATACTTATTGAAGCAGTGGTGACAGTTGTGACAGCAAATGTCTCAAATGAGAGCAAAATGTTGCATTAAGTGTTACTGCTAGTAATGTAAAAGTTGCCAGATGAGGCAATGAGTTCATAAGCTAAAGAAAGTGAAAAGTTCCAAAAAATCAAAATCCATGTTTAAGAATTCAGTATTAAATGCCTTCATGATTAATGAAAGCCATTCATATATGCGAGTCAAAGTAATATTATAGCTAAAGAACATGTTTGGGGGCATAACAAGGACCTTAAGACAGAATTTAATGGATATGAGGTCAGACCATATCTATATTCAAGAACTCCATTAGAATAAGATGATAATACTGTCAAATTTTTACATAAATATTCACTGATAATCTGCTATATCTCATGCACTATTCCAGAATTTGGAATATAAGTGACTATCATTATAGACAATAAAGGTATAATAAAGTAAAGCCAAGCTACTGTAAACTAAAAGACCCCAGTAAATAGTGACTTAAAGAATGTAAACATTGGGCAGGCGTGGTGGCTCCTAGCACTCTGGGAGGCCTGGGCTGCTGGATCACTTGAGCTCACTGGTTCAAGACCAGCCTAAGCAAGAGTAAGACCCCTGTCTCTAAAAATAGCTGGGCACTGTGGTAGGTGCCTATAGTCCTAGCTACTTGGGAGGCTGAGGCAAGAGTATCACTTGAGCCCAAGAGTTGAAGTTGCTGTGAGCTATGACACCATAGCACTCTACCGAGGGTGACAAAGTGAGACTCTGTCTAAAAAAATTAAAAAAAAAAAAAAGAAGAATATAAACATTGACTGCTCAAATGACAGTTCCAAGGTACTGAGTGAATGGTCCAGGTCTGCCAGGCAACTCTGTTTCCAATGGCCATTCAGGAACAAATTTTCTGGAAAGTCATTACACCACTATCTCCTAGGTTAGGAGTTGGCTAATACTTTCTGTAAAGGCTGAAAAGTAAATATTTTAGACTTTGTGGGCCACACAGTTGCTATCATAACTATGATTTTTGCTGTTGTAGCCCCAAAGCAGCTATAGACAATATATCAATAAATAGGTGTGGCTATGTTCCAGTAAAACTTAAGGAACACTGAAATTTTAATTTCATATAATTTTCACACATATTGAAGTATTGTTATTCTTTTGATTTTGTGGGGGGTAGAAGCCTGGGTTTCATCTGAGGTTGTAGTTTTTTGACCTCTGTCCTACAGCTTTGCCAGCTACATATAGCTGAGTGCCACTCAGTTGGAAAGTACTGGTGGAAAGAGGCCTCATGGGAGACACATCCAGTTCCTTGAGACACTGGTCTTGTCACAACAAATGTGATTTTTATTCCCATTTCATTTGTGAGAACTGAGTTACTTGGTCCCACGTAGTGACAAACCTAATGTCCTCATTTAGCCATATGCTGGGGTACAAGCTTAATACTGTGAAGGAAAGGCACAGATTTTGATGGGCAACTTTCAGTCTCTGCTTCAGATGACTGATACTTTCTCCTGTTTTGTTTCCTGTTAGTGGCATGTATCTCTGTACCCCACACCAAGAATAAAAGAAAATTCAAAGAAATCCTTTTCTTTGGCCAAGTCAGGATAACTAAGGCTCTAATAGTTTTACTATAAACATAAATAAATGGGTGTTTAGGGCACAGTAGATAATAGGGAAAAGACAAAGAAGAGAGATTAGTGAGGTTTTACAGATGAAAGATAATAAGAATCTAAACTCAAGAGATACTTCTTTTAAACCACAGTGTTTTATCACTCTGTTCTTCTGACTCCTTACTCACTATGTATTCTGCTACATTTGCTTGGCCTGAAATCTCTATTTTCCCCAATTACTAAACATTTGATTTGGGCAACTTGCTAAATTCCTCTGCAGCTCAGTTTCCTCATCTGTAAAATAGGGACAGTAATAATATCAATAGCAAAGGGTTGTGCTAAAGTTTACATGAATATAGAAATTAGAACAGCATATCTAAATGCTACTGTTTATCATATGGTAAATGTAATATAAGTATTAATTCTGTTACTGTATATTATTATATTGTATATTATATATCAAGATAATTAAACTTATAAATCTATGTATATTTTACATATTTATGTATTTTTTATATTTATATACCACCTCTCCTATTTCTTTATGTTTTCTCTGAATCAACTGTATTATCAGTACTTCTATTCCTTATTGTTTTTTGTGTCAGTTTTATCTCTTTTTTCTTCTTTAGATGGGGATATTGGTTTTGAACTTTCACAAGGAATGTCTGAAGAAGTTTCTTTCCAGTCTGAGAGAATTAATCTTTTCACAAGAGAAGACCCATATTCTGTTTTAGAAGAATTATTGAGAGATGATAAACAGACAAGAAGATATGAGGAAAAGCAGAACAAATCTTTAAGTCACATTGCCTTCATCAACAAGGAAACAGTGGCTAATAAGAAGGGCTGTGAATATAAGGGCATTGGAAAATTTGTTCATGTCAACACACACCTTGTTCCTTCAAGAAAAAGACTTTGTAATGATGACTCATTTGGAAAGAGTTTGGAGCCTATTATAAGCTTATATAATTATAATAAGAACAATGCAACAGAAAATGTTGATAAGATTGTCAGACATGGTGATATTTTTACTCATAGGAATTCTCATACAGAAATCAATGGTTGTGAATATCATCAATGTAGGAAACTTCTGAGTCATAAGCAAGGTCTCATTCAACATCAGAAAGTTCATACTGAGGAGAGTCTCTGTTTGTTTTCTGACTGTATAAAAGCTTTCTCCCAGAAGGCACATCTTTTTGCACAGCAGAATATTTGCAATGAAGAAAAACAGCATGCATGCAGCAAATGTGAGGCAGTCTTCACTCAGAAGTCTCAACTTGCTACACCTCAGAGGGTTTATGAGGGAGAAACATCCTATATATGCACTGAATATAGGAAGGAATTTCTCCTCAAGTCAAACCATCAGAAAACTCATAATGAAGAGAATTACTATAAATACAATGTGTATGAAAGACCTTTTACCCGGAAGTCAGATCTGTTCAGATGCCTGAGAATTCATACTGGAGAAAAACCCTATGAATACAGTGAATGTGGGGAAAACTTCTCTAAAAATTTAGACTCCAGTATACATAAAATAATTCATACTAGAGAGAAACACTTTGAATGTACTGAATGTGGAAAAGCCTTCACAAGAAAATCAACACTAAGCATGCATCAAAAAATTCATACTGGAGGGAAACACTTTGAATGTACTGAATGTGGAAAAGCCTTCACAAGAAAATCAACACTAAGTATGCATCAAAAAATTCATACAGGAGAAAAACCCTATGTATGTACTGAATGTGGGAAGGCCTTTATCCGGAAGTCACATTTTATCACACATGAAAGAATTCATACTGGAGAAAAACCCTATGAATGCAATGACTGTGGGAAATCCTTTATAAAAAAGTCACAACTTCATGTGCATCAGCGAATTCATACAGGAGAGAATCCCTTTATATGTTCAGAATGTGGGAAAGTCTTCACTCACAAGACAAATCTCATTATACACCAGAAAATTCATACTGGAGAAAGACCCTATATGTGTACTGAATGTGGAAAGACCTTTACTGACAAGTCAAATCTCATTAAACACCAAAAAATTCATACTGGAGAGAAACCCTATCAATGCAATGACTGTGGAAAATCATTCATCTGGAAGTCACGGCTCAGGATCCATCAAAAATGTCATACTGGAGAAAGGCATTATGAATGCAGTGAATGTGGGAAAGCATTCATTCAGAAGTCAACACTAAGTATGCACCAAAGAATTCATAGAGGAGAAAAACCCTATGTTTGCACTGAATGTGGGAAGGCCTTCCTCCACAAATCACATTTTATTACACATGAGAGAATTCATACTGGTGAGAAACCCTATGAATGCAACAATTGTGGGAAATCCTTCACTAAGAAGTCACAACTCCACGTACATCAGCAAATTCACACAGGAGAGAAACCTTATAGATGTGCTGAATGTGGAAAGGCTTTCACTGACAGATCAAATCTCTTTACACACCAGAAAATTCACACTGGAGATAAACCCTATAAATGTAGTGACTGTGGAAAAGCCTTCACCCGGAAGTCAGGCCTCCATATACATCAGCAATCCCATACTGGAGAAAGGCATTATGAATGTAGTGAATGTGGGAAAGCCTTTGCAAGAAAATCAACACTAATTATGCATCAGAGAATTCATACAGGAGAGAAGCCCTATATCTGTACTGAATGTGGGAAATCCTTCATCCAGAAGTCACACTTAAATAGACACAGAAGAATTCATACTGGAGAAAAACCCTATAAATGCAGTGACTGTGGGAAGTCTTTTATTAAGAAGTCACAACTCCATGAGCATCATCGAATTCACACAGGAGAGAAACCATATATATGTGTTGAGTGCGGAAAGGCCTTCACCATCAGGTCAAATCTTATTAAACACCAGAAAATTCATATGAAACAGAAACCCTATAAATGCAGTGACTTTGGGAAGGCCTTAAACTGGAAGCCACTACTCACTAAACATCAGAAATCAGACACTGAGAAAGTAGAGAGCCCAGTGCCACAGTTATGATGTGGGGAAGCAGGACATGACCAAGGCCACCTTTCTTCTAGCTCGTCAGAACTATGAGTATCACACAGCTGATATCCAGTTTTATATAAGGAAGACACTTTGATGAAAGTGTTTAAGCAATGTGTAGGGGTCATGCTTGGTTGCTTAACTGATAAGGGAGTCGTTAAATCCCTGCAAATAATAGTGAATATGCAAGGACATGACTTACAGTCTTTCTTGTTTCACTTTTTGGGTAAGCAGCTATATAAATTCAGGGTGTTGAGTTTTTCATGCTCTGGGTAGCAAAACTGTTCAGTATTGACCAAAATAATTTCATAATGAGTACAGTGGTGAGAAAATTTTACATTGTCTAAGCACCCTAAGGACACTGAAAATGAAACAAAAGGTGGGAAAATATGATATATGATGAAAAGAAATCAGAAGTTTTTGTGAAAATTAACACTAAAGACACAAAGGACTCGACTTTTGGGGGGGAGAAGTCACCTTATTTATTGTTTGTAGTATTTATTGGTTATGAATAAATCTATTGGTTATATGCTGTTGCAGCAGGTACCTAAGAGGTCTGAAATTGCTCCTAGCTTGTATCCCAAAAGTGATTAATAATGTAAGTGACAGTACCATAACTACTTGCCACTTTAGCTCTGGCCCTAATATCCTGGAACTTAGCCACAGGACCAAGATACAAAACACATTTTGGATCCTCAACTTCATCCACAGAAACCTGAATTTTTTTTTTTTTTTTGGCCGGGGCCAGGTTTGAACCCACCATCTCTGGTATATGGGGCTGGCACCCTACTCCTTTGGGCCACAGGCGCCACCCAAAACCTGAACTTTTCTCACTGATTCTGTTTGAAAGGGGAAAAAATTTAAGAAAACAGGTTTCAAAGCTTAGAATTCTTTCCTTCCAATTTTGTGAGTATATTCTCTACATATTTGTTACATGCTAGGTTACCATGAGACACAATTATCTTGCATTTTAGTTTGAAGCCCTAAAATTGACTATATCAGATATTAATAATATGTGCAAACTTCACTTCTTAAAGGCTAATATAAATAAGTACACCACTTCTGGACAAAGTGGGGTGGGTGTTCACATTCCATTTATCCTCCTCTTGACTTCCATGGTATTGATCCCATGCATTTGAATTCTATATGTAGTTGACAAAGCCAATCATTGTTTCAGAGTCAATATTTACTTAAATTAACCTACATATTACCCTTTCTATTATTTTTTTATTCTCTCCTGTCTTTTGTTTCCCTGCAGAATCACTGTTATTCTGACTGAGGAACACCCTTGACTATTACTTTAAGTGTAAGTTTGCTGGGGACAAGTTCTGTTTTTGTTCATTGGAAATGTCTGTAATTTGCCTTTATTTTTGAAGGATATTTTTACTGAATTTAGAATTCTAAGTTAGCAGTTATTTTCTATTAGTATTTTGAAGATACTACATTATGGTTTCTCTTTCATTATTCTGTTGAAAAGTAAGCTGTCAATATAATTACCTTTGAAGGTAATCTGCTATTGTTTTTTTCTCTTGCCTTTAAAACTTATCTGTTTATTCCTTCAGCAGTTGCCTAGGTGTGATTTTCTTTTCTTTTCTTTAAGAGACAGAGTCTCAGTTTGTCACCCTTGGTAGAGTGCCATGTTGTTACAGCTCACAGCAACCTCAAACTCTTGGGCTTAAGCGATTCTCTTGCCTCAGCCTCCCTAGCAGCTGGGTCTACAGGCACCCCCCACAACACCCAGCTATTTTTTGTTGCAGTTTGGCCAGGCCAGGTTCAAACCCTCAGTATATGGGGCCAGCGCCCTACTCACTGTGCCACAGGTGCTACCCCTAGGTGTGATTTTCTATATATTTATCCTGCTTGGGGTTTAGAGTGTCTTCATAACCTATGGCTTAGTGATTAAGCCATAGATCACTTATAGTGGTGTGTGTATGTTTGTGCACACATAACTTGGAAAATTCCTAGCTATTATCTATACAAATTTTGCATCTGCTTCATTCTCTGTTTCTTTCACAGATAGCCCTATTACCTAGATCCCCTGGCCTGTTCCTATTTGGTATTGTTTTTCTTCAGTTTTAAACAGTGATATCTTCTGAGATAACTGGTGATTTTTAAATCAACTGCCAAATACTACATATTAAAACTGTAGAGATAAGAGAATGGTCTGGATAATTTCTTCCAGAGATTTGCCTTTGCTTCTAACAGGTGACGGTTCTTGGAACATTAGCAATCACTGATTGTCTTTATCCAATCAATTATTGAGATTACTCAAAACTGTGCTCTAGTCTCACCCTGTTCCTAAGGGATATCTTTAGGACTTAGGACTTTGGGGTGACCTGAATTCTAGTATTTGTCTCCTTAGCCATATGAATTTACAAAAAATTTTCTACAGCCTCTCTTGCCCAGTATTTACCTTTAGAGTTAGCAAAAACTCCTTAGTCATAAATAATCACAAAGTCCAGAGATTATGACATGTCTCTAATCATATTTCTGCAATTTCTCACTGTCTTGGTAGTTCTGTGCCTTCAGAAAATTAAATGTGTTTAATATTTTTGTCTACCTATTTTAGTTCTCAAAAGGAGTACATACTAATATGTATCACCTACTCTGCCATTGGCAGATGTTTTTAATTCATTGAGATAGCTACTTGTATTTAAGGAGTCTGGAGTCTAGAAATGTATTTTTTTTTTAATTACCAAAATTACTGACTTAAAAATGCAATGTTTCATTTGCAACTTCATCTGTATCTTTTGTTGCTAGAAGTCTTAAAGCATTGCTTTTTTGTTAAGGACTTTACAAACTTTGATACATAAGAGAAAATTATCTCTGGTGTCATCAAATCTTATTATGGTAGCTGCCAAACTTTAACAAAAAGAGTAGACTGACTAAAATCTTCTCAAATGTCTTCTTTATTACTATGGTTTTTCCTTTGGATATTAATTGAAAATGGGGTTAATGAAGACTGATCTAAGAGCCTTGGGGTTTGAAAAATTAATTTCATAAGATTAATAAACTTTTTCACTTATACATTTTCAAAAATAGAATTCTACACTCCCAAGCCAAAAAGAAAAAGGGAAAAAAAGGACAAATCAGCTACTGTATCTTTTGTCAACATAGTATTCATCTCTAAGAGGAAAAGAAGACTTTCTTTTGAGGATTTCCTTGCATCTCAAGAGGGACGTGGGAATTGACTGAGGAATGAATAATGGCAAACTGTAAGTGGAATGGGAGAGCTAAATTTTAAGTCAATATAGATTGGAGGCATGTGAGATATAGACTTTCAAATCTCATTACACATCAGAAAATCAATTTGGAGGGGAAAAAAAACTTACAAAAGCAGTGCCATATTATTATTCCCTTAATATGGAATAATAATGAGGGAACATAGCATGGGTTAGCCACATCCTTTGATACCAGCATTCCATTATAGTTTATCTCTATTTACAGCAAAACTATTTTTAAACACTTTTACAGTTTAAATTTTGTAATAAAATTACATTTTAAACTAAGTTTCCAAAAGGGAATCACCATGAATTCAGAAAATCTAAGAAAGCATTCACTCTAACTAACATTTAATTATACATCCAATACTTTATAGAGGAGAGTAATTTTTTGTGCTGAATGTGCGTAGGGTTTTCTTCACAAATCATACTTCATTGCATATTAGAGGATTCATGATGGAAAGAAACATTTTATGATTATAGTGACTGCAAGAAATCTCCCACTGAAAAGCCAATGACCTGAACATCAGCAAATTTACACATAAGAAAAAAAAATAACAGTTCAAATCTTATTACACATCAGAAAATCAATGTGGAGGAAAAAAAAACCTACAAAAGCAATGGCTGGAAAACCCTTCACTTGCAATTTATTAAAAAATTCCTGTATGAGGCAGTGTCTGTGGCTCAGTGGGAAGGGCACCGGCCCTGGCTAAACTGCAACAAAAAAATAGCAGGGGGGGTTGTGGCAGGTGCCTGTAGTCCCAGCTACTCAGGAGGCTGAGGCAAGAGAATTGCCTAAGCCCAGGAGTTGGAGGTTGCTGTGAGCTGTGTGACACCACAGCACTCTGCCCAGGGCAATAAAATGAGACTCTGTCTCTACAAAATAAAGATTTCTATAGAAGGAGACAACACAGATGTCCTTAATATGGGAATAACTTCATGCAGAAATTAGTTTTCAATATTTATACATGAGTGAAATTATGTATTTCCTGAAAGAAAGTGAAAAAGACTGCACAGCAATCAGAACCAATTGTATTACTCATACTATAGAGAAGCCCTATGCTTACTGTACATTATATATTGTATATGGAAAAATATTTGTCCGTCAGTCACACTTTACTATATATCATATAATGGAAAAGAGTAGGTATTCTAAGGGTACAACATGTTCTTAAATGCCATAAAATTCATATATTATAGAAACTGTAAGTTTGATATACTGGAAAAAGTCTTCCTATAAAAGCATATTCCATAAGAAATATAATTCATTTTGTTTATGAATATAATTTCAGGCCCATGTCTAGAACCAGTGGGGACAAACAGATGAGTCCAATACTTGCCCTTTTAATGAAAAAATATATATACTTACACACACATATGCACACACATGAAACTGTGTATAAACATGGCTTTTATAATGTGTTTTCTGTCTTCTCAATTTTGGTCCTTTCACTCCTATATGCTTTCACTTGTAGTACTCATAGCAACTCCAGCCATACAATAGTCTGTCAACAGATAATCAATACTGATCAACTTTATATTTTTCTCTATACTCACCTCACATATAGACACATGTTATCTATACACACATATATTAGTGTTTGTGTTTTCACTGTTATATAAGGGGGCTTATGTACGTATTTTTGCATCTTTTACACTTATCAATAGCTGAAAAGAGTCAGTGGTGTGGACATACCATAACTATTTCAAGTTTTACCACTGGTTATTCACATTTTTGTTGCTAGGAAAAATAATCTTTTAACCCTAAGAAGTAACAGGAGAGTGAATTATTGGACAGGTGCAGGATTACTGAGGATTACTTTTTTGTGTAGATTATGCTTTTCAGAGTGGGATTCATGGATCAAATTATAAGTATTATTTTAATAGATGTTAATAGATTTCACTGTATAACAGTAAGACTATAGTTTTTCATATTCCAAAAATTAGTATATAAATTTACCCCTTTCTCTTTACTAAAAGTAACTGTTACTCTTTAACTTTGAGAAGTTTTATGAGTTCAAAGTGATTACTAACATGGATTTTCATATTCAAATATCTCTAAATGTGTCTTGGCTATCTGAATTTGCCATTCTATAAACTGCCTTTTTAAATTATTTAATCATACTTTTTTCTTTTTGGGTTATCTTTTCAATTTATAACATAGCTTTTTATATATAGGTAGTCATTCTTTTCTAAAGAGCATTGATTGCTTGTCTCAATTCTGCATAAGCTTCACATATTGTAATATGTTTAAAGTGTTCTTCTGCATAAATTGTGTATCTTATGGGAAAATGATTCATTTCTTCTCCTGGACATAGATAGTCACTTTAATAGTGGCAGGCACTGTTGGTTTGCTAAACCAATTTGCAATCCCAATACTCCCCTCTCACACTTCCTTCCTTACCATCCTTTGAAGCTGGTAGTGGCTTCAGGCACCTGGTACCTGCCTCAGGCCTAGGGAAACAAAACACTGAGAGGTATGTCCTGGGAAAACCTTTTCTTTCCTAAGAAAAAGAACAGACAGGCTTACCTGCTGCCATCCGTCCTACCATTCTTCCTGCCTGTGTGGGTTTCCTGCAGCAGTGATGACCTTTCTTACAGCCATCAGGTAAATGCCAGAAGAATCACAGAACCTGATTCTGACATTTTTGAGTCAATACAAACAGCAATTTACCTGTAGACTTTAGCAACAATGTCAAAAATAAACATGTTTGGCATAAACCATTCTAGTTTAGATTTCTCTTGCTGTAACTGAAAGCATTCCACTGAAATTTATAAAGTAATCCATCCTTTTCTAGTTATAGTAAATACAAAAAAATTTTTTTTCTAAAACCTTAGTAAACTAGATACCTTACACCAGGTGTCCTCAAACTACGGCCCACAGGCCACATGTGGCCGACCAGGTGTTTTTGCCACCACTGCCTGTCCTGCTTAGCAGCAGCTGCCTACCCTGCTTAGCAGCCAACTTGTCCCAGGGCCCGCAGTCTGGCCCTCCAGCGGTCTGAGAGACAGTGAACTGGCCTCCTGTTTAAAAAGTTTGAGGACCCCTGCCTTACACAAACCCAAGTAAGTTAAAGAGACAGCAAAATTATACAAGATTTGTAATGAGTAAGAAGAACCATATATACTACATCAGTTAATGGCATCAGAAGAGAATACTACCTTAAATGGATGATCTCCTAGCACAACAATTGATCAAAATTGAGTAAGAAATGAAAACTGAAAAAAGAGTCAGGAACTGTGAAAGGAATTATAAATATCATTACAGGACTACCATTTAAAATGTACCAGGACTACACAAAAATATTTCATAAGACATATAAATAATAAACTATAAAGGAAAGAAACAATAAATTGGACTTTTCAAAATTAAAAATTCTTGTCCTTTGAAAGACACAGAATGGGAAAAAATATTTGCAATATATTTATGACAAAATACCTATTTCTTAAAAATATAAAGATATAAGATAACCCAATAAAAAGGACAAAATATTTGAACAGATATAATTCATAAAATATGAAATGGCCAATAAGGGTAAGAAATGATTTCAATATCAGCCACTGATTTAACAAATGGTGCTGGGTGAACTGGCTGGTGACCTGCAGAAGACTGAAACTGGATCCACACCTTTCACCACTAACTAAGATTGACTCTCACTGGATTAAAGATTTAAACTTAAGACATGAAACTATAAAAATACTAGAAGAAAGTGTAGAGAAAACACTTGAAGAAATTGGCCTGGGTGAAAATTTTATGAAGAGGACCCCCCCAGGCAATTGAAACAACATCAAAAATACACTACTGGGACCTGATCAAATTAAAAAGCTTCTGCACAGCCAAAAGCACCATAAGTAAAGCAAGTAGACATCCCTCAGAATGGGAGAAGATATTTGCTGGTTATGTCTCTGACAAAGGTTTAATAACCAGAATCCACAGAGAACTCAAACGTATTAGCAAGAAGAGAACAAGTCATCCCCTCTCAGGGTGGGCAAGGGACTTGAAGAGAAATTTCTCTGAAGAAGACAGGCACATGGCCTAAAAACATATGAAAAAATGCTCACCATCCTTAATCATCAGAGAAATGCAAATCAAAACTACTTTGAGATATCATCTAACACCAGTAAGATTAGCCCATATCACAAAATCCCAAAATCACAGGTGCTGGTGTGGGTGTGGAGAAAAGGGAACACTTCTACACTGCTGGTGGGATTGCAAACTAATACGTTCCTTTTGGAAAGACATCTGGAGAACACTTAAAGAACTAAAAATAGACCTGCCATTTGATCCTATAATTCCTCTATTAGGTATATATCCAGAAGACCAAAAATCACACTACAATAAAGATATTTGTATCAGAATGTTCATTGCAGCCCAATTCATAATTGCTAAGTCATGAAAGAAGCCCAAGAGCCCATCGATCCACAAATGGATCAATAATTTGTGGTATATGTACACCATGGAATACTATGCAGCCATTAAGAAGGATGGAGAATTTACCTCCTTCATGTTTACATGGATGGAGCTGGAAAATATTCTTTTTAGCAAAGTATCCCAAGAATGGAAGAAAAAGTATCCAATGTACTCAGCCCTACTATGAAACTAATTTGTAGCTTTCATAGGAAAGCTATAACCTAATTTTAGCCCAGGAACAAGGAGAGAGGGGAGAGGGAGGGGAGGAGAGGGGGGAGGGTAAGTGGAGGGAGGGTGATTGGCAGGATCACGCCTATGTTTCATCCTATAAGGGTACATGTGACTCTCTCTAAATGTAGAATATAAATGTCTTAACACAATAACTAAGAAAAAGACATGAAGGCTATGTTAACCAGTTGGATGAAAGTACTTCAAATTGTATAGAGAAACAGTACACTGTACCCCATGATAGTATTAATGTACACTGTTATGATTTAATAAAAAAAAAATAAATATTTTGCACTAAAAAAAGTTAATTAAATGAAGGAATCATAAAAAATATGGCTTAAACATTTTAAAAAATGTATCAGCCACTGGAGAAATACAAATTAAAGTCACAATGTTGGTGGATATGGTGGTTAATATCTGTAACCCCTGA